AATATCAACCCAAGTGTGATTAAATTCATGGCGCGAGGCGGGGCGTTTGTAGTTAACGCGGCTAGAGCATTGGTCTCCGGCAAAGGCCTCCTCTGATGCGCGGGTTCAAATCCCGCCAAACGCCTCGAGCTTTTTCACAATTGGTTCAACTCAAATTAAGCACATCTGCCAAACCTCCTAATAATAACAATATATGTAAACCACTGTAAGTACATTACCCCGTACCCTGAAGACGCAACTTGGTACGCAGTGTTTTACAAAGGCAGGAAAATGTGCTATGTAGAAATCGCTTGCCTAAAGGCAAATTAACATAGGCGTGGATATCCACAATTACAACTGCCTACTCTCCTACGACCAAAATTGATGAACACCAAGTTGCCAAAAGGGCCGTTTTTATTTATTTGCACTATAGGAGTGACGGCGCGAGGTTTGAAATTGGTTTCCGTTTTTGGTCTCTAGCTTAATGTAAAAGACACGTCCAATTAAAAAAATTGACGAGGGAACCGCATATTATTCGACCTTTGGAAATATATATTCTAGGTGAGACGCTCTGGAAGGTAGCCCTACGATCAACACAGTTTTTGAAGTTCACTCGCTCCAAAAAACAAAATCACTGCTTCTGACTCTGATTGAAATAGTAGAAGAACTCATTGATGGACTTTCACCTGACCGCTTAGCGAACTCATCTGTCCCGCTCTGCCTGCGTTCTCAACAGAGGCCTTGACAGCCGTATTAACTGGTAATTTAGGCAGATAGTATTACCGGCAAAGACAAGAGAGACTTTAATGATCATTTCTGGCTTATTAGCCGTCATCAGTCAGTCATACCTAAACCCAAGTCCCAGCGAGCATCGAACTCGCGACCTTTTTGGTCAGAGTCAGAGTTAACGTTCATCAACGAGGGTCAGTATCCATCGACCTAACCGGCAAGTCAACGAGCTCATGGCTCAATTGTTAGGGCGTTCGACTCTGATCAAGGAGGCCGTGATTTCGAGACTCCGGTGGGGCACCAATTGGGTCTGGGTATGACTGACTAACGACGGCTAATAAGCCAGAAATGGCCATTCCAGTTTCCCTTACCTTTGCCGGTAATACTCATAACCGCCAATTGGGTTCAGTGACGTCGATTTTGCCTTTGTGTGTTCTTTCCTATCTCCACAACCGCAAATAAAGAGGTGCAGAAGTATTTGGAAAGCAAATTTTGCAGCAATGAGACATGCTAATTCCGCCGAAAATTGGTTACCTAATACGAACTATACCAGTAAATTATGGCAATATTTCCAAGGAACTAAGGAGGGACTAATTGAAGTCCCCTGCCCAATGCAAATAATAAGACCATATGCTCGACCTCCATGGGTCAACCGGACGATAAATGGACCATAAAGAAAATAAAGAGGTAGTGGAAGATGTTCGTGAATCTTCAGGATCCAAAATCACTTGCCGAATATAAACCACAACAAAATGAATGACGTAGGAAAATACGAATTGCTAAAACTGTCCAGATTCTCTTAAGGTCAAGATGATCCACACGTGATATTCAGAAGTTTACCCCACAAACAGGCAAATAGACGTTCTTACGATTTATAAAGTACTGTTTCATGACGTTAAGACCAGAACGGGACGGCCACATCGAATACAAGAGGACTAAGCTAACATAGCCCGAGGAGAGACACACTTGAATGGAAAGCTAACTACAAGAACGTCGGGACGAAAAAAGAAACGCTATATAAATCAGCGCAGTGCGGACTTGCTCGATCAGTCATTTCAAATTCTGGTTGATATTTGACCTCAAGTGCTTTGACAATGGTGTGCCGACCATCTCTCCGAAACTTCAGCAACACAACAATTCCCATCTGATGAGTTGTTTCTGCTTCTTTTTATATTTCCTTCCCGGACCTAACCTTTGAATACCTGAATAAGACACGTTCAGATGACCTCGGTACGTTGTTTGTTACCAAAGGTTCAAAGCAAAGTGACTCACAACAGTAAAACGTGGCAGAAGTTACCACATGAAACAACATATAAACGAAGTGTTTCTGACACTTAGACTTGACACAGGTTAAGGTCATTATCCTGTTTTATTACCACAGCCCTGCCTTACAGCGCCAGTGTTCTCAACGGTACACGACAGGTAGGCAGGATGCAATTTGACTAGGTTCGTATAGACAGCTTTAAGAGTCACTGGGGCAGATGGTGGAGAGTTTTTTATTCCCGATAATCAATTAGGCCCCACTTTTAATTCAATTACTAAATGAGACATTATTGTATGAAACAAGTTTCACTCCCAAGCACCAGTCAACCGTTTGGTTACATCGGACTCATAGCGTGATACATCTCCTTTGGCTAGATACCATGCAGCCTGTGTGCATACAGGGCTTAGCTTGTCCTTTTGCAGTTACCAGATTTTCTAGTCTCGGTCTCGTGTTGTTGCGCCATTTGCTAGCAAAGGCCACCTCAGTAAATCACTGAGTCAGCGATGACATGAGCTGGGAGTGATCAGATATGTTCTATTTCAGTAGTCAGGCACATGATTATAGCCTGCATTGTGGACCCGACCTTATTTCAGTAGATTTATCGCCCACTGCATCAGTGCACAGCAGCTAGTCCGCTTTGGTAACCTTTTACGCAGACCACAGCGTCGGTTAACTTAGCTTACCGACTGCTTCATCGATCATGTTCAACTTCATTCTTCTGCCGTTCGAGGGATGATGTCTGTAAAAGGACTTAAAGTTTGTCATCTGTCAACACATTGCCTTCTTCAAACTTTCTCTACTATCCCCACCAAAACGCGGACTAGAAGCGGCCTGACGGATGAACTCACAACCCAAAACTTACCAACCTGAATTTGGCGCGTGCATTTGGGCATCAATCTTCCTGTTCGGAATCCTACTTCACTTTAAATACGCATATATTCTTCCCCCCCTTCCCCTACTGGAGGCTGACATATCGCACCACCCTCGCAATTATATCGTAACTCTTTATCGGCCTATTAGAATTATATATGCGTAAAGAATACACACGCTTGCTTTTCCAAACCAAACAAAAGGTAGAAGACTTTTATACATGAGGTAGTTACTATTAAGTATATAAACATAAACATATATCGGTCAACGATGAACAAACAAACACTCGCGCATTCAGGGTCAGTGCTTATGACAGATTATGCCTCGAAAAGGGCGCGCAGAAAAAATTCGCATTTTTTGAAGAATTGTTTGATTTGTCATCTTAGCCTAATAAACGATTGCTCCGAACGCGATGTAAATGCACACTGGAAATCTGGATTAAATAAATGGTGTTTCCCCCTGGTCCTCACAAGGTTGATTCCACAATATGGCTGATTTGTTTTGCTTGTGAATCAAGTCTTCCAGCTCCGTGACCGCAGAGGGATCAGAAAGCAAGAGAACAAGAATGTTGGTTTTGCCTTTCTTGGCGTACTGCAGGAAGATCAACCCGTCTATAGCATCATCACGTTTCAGTTGTACCACTCTATTATAAGGCAATGTGATGAGGGGTTTCTCCTTGCTGTTGCGGTGCAGGGTGAGGCAGTCCTCGGAGCCTTTGAATATAACCGCCGTTTGTTCTTCCTCATTCCCGACAGCCGTCTGGAATAACTTCGAGATTTCATCCAGAGTGACGTAGTTGATGGCTTTGGCACTATCTTTGAGTACAATGGCGCCTAAGCTGGTGAAAACTATTTCGTTGGCCTTCTTGTGCATGTTGCTTTTTCTTTTTTATGGGTAGGGTTCTTGAATGTTTATCACCCTAAGGGTTGTAGGAATAAAGTCTTGCGATAACTGCGGACTTTTATGGAGCATAATTCGCACGTCTGGTGGTTAGATAAGTAGCATGATCTATCAATTGGCACGTGTAGCACTCAAAATTGCAGCAACCTGATTGGTTGAGGGGTTGAAGAGGCTTACACTCTACAGCATCACAGAAGAAAAGCATGAACAAGGCAATTAAAAGTAGTGTGACGTATTGCATTTTTTTACCTGCATGGAACCTACGCTAGAACGCAGCGGGATGTATAGGCATATATTTTTATTGGCAATTAAAAATCCCTCTGACCCAGTTATTAAAAGCTCAGTGGCCATGAAGCGTTAAATATTATTTTCCAGAAGATTCTCTTTTTTAATTTTTTTCTGAGGCTGACAATGCAAGCTTCAGCTTATAGAAGGCTTTAAAGATAATAAGAGATTAGGAGGAGGACCAGTTAGCTGTTCAGTTTTTGTACTTCATTTGTTTACGTTAAACACACTTCGCATACCCCTCTACTGGGACCTGGTTAATAGATGACAGAGGCAGCGATAGCACAAGTTATATCTTAAAATATACACATTCGTATTCTTGTAGTAATTCTATTGCGTACTTTATTTTCAGTGGATCAAAATTACAGTTAACTTCCAACGCCGTTTAGTGACGTTTGTTTCCCTTTTTAATTAATTCTGTGGCAACTCATCTGTGTATCGAACTCTCGCAAGGGGTGTTTTGAGAATTTATGTTTCTGCTATCAGCTTGACATAGATCTAGGCACCTTAACCTAGTCATGCAGTACATATATCCGAAAAAGTGATGAATTATACGTGATTACTTCAGACATTTTTGAACATATCGACAAGCATCACTAATTGTTTTCATGTTTTGGCTTGATGCAACTTCAGAGGGGATGATGGTTTCATACGATGTTCGGATTTAGGCAAAAATACGTGGAATAGGCAATACTTATTCTTCAATAGTTTTGTACTAGTACAATTGAAACAAAATCTTGTACATTCTCTCTCTCAAAGAGCGAGGAATATTTGCTCTTGTGAGACCCTTCCTGCAGATGTTTCCAGTAACGAAGCAGCCCTACGAGCCGTGACTCTCCTGCACACTTTATTTTAAAAAAAGCAGCAGTTTTTTACAAAGATAGGTGATGGAACAGTCAGATTCAAAAAGCCCGTTATTATATCGTTAACCTTTTTGGGTGATAGCATTTAAAGTGAAAACAAGCGACAATTGCGCTGTACCATAGAAGGGGTATAAATTACAGCTGAACTCGTCTTTCCAAGCCTTTTTTAACGTCTTCTAAGGAAACGGGGAAAAGATATCCTGCCGTTGCACGCCACTTCAAATCTTGTATGAGTCCACGTGCACTTGCGGATGCCCGTACATTGGGCTTATGCAAACGCAGTGATAGCCGGGGTTGCTGAGCACTTGTCCAACTGGCCTTTCAGGCATGAAGATCGAGTCTCACTGTCTTCAACTACTAAACATCCGGTAGGCAATGGTTTCGCTGTCTCTGTCTCCCTGGTTTTCGAGTACTTGTTTGAGCAAGAACAAATCGAACCTGCGCTACTTCAAAGCGGTCTAAATGCGGCGGGAGGCACCTGACTTATGCAAGCAGTTGGAGCATGTAGTCAATCTTCAAAGTCTCTAGTAATTGGGCACTTTGTTTTAATCCTGTTAGGAGGCTCGAGCACGTCACCCAGACAGAGACACAAATATTCCGAGGTCACGCCGGACAAGTCAACCTTTTTAACATTGGGAGGTGTTAGGGGGCCGAACACGTCACCCAGACGTCAGACAGTACGAGGTCACGTGAAGCCAGTCCAATGCATACACAACGAACCATGTCCCGCGACCGTCAAAGGGCCGACTAAGCTAGGACAAAGAAGTCAGGCGGCCACTGGAGGCCGACTGCTGCCGGAGCCGGCCAGGAGTCGAGTGAGGTCACGGTAGGACAGACGCACAGACGTGCGTAAGCGAGCCTGCGCACTGGGAGAGCCAATGGGGAGCAACGACGACTTCCCCTTAAATAGTGAGGCTACTAGCAGAGCGGGGACTCTGCTGTAGGACACGCTG